AGGATGACGCCACGGCACTCTAGCCTGGGCAACACAGTCAGACTCTGTCTCAAAAAAAAAAAAAAAAGACTGGGTGCAGGGCTGAATATATCAACTATGGTTTTTTGTGGAGAAGAGCTGCTGACCCCAGCATTAAACAGTACAGGCCAGGCGCGGTGGCTCGTGCCTGTAATCCCAGGGCTTTGGGAGGCTAAGGCAGGAGGATCAGTTTAGGCCAGGGGGCCAAAACCAGCCTGAGCAACATAGCTAGACCCCATCTTAAAAAATAAAAACTGGCCAGGTATGGTGGCACACCTTTTTACTGCTGAAAAAAAGGTGGGAGGCTGAAAAAACACTTTGGGAGGCTGAGGCAGGAGGGTCGCTTGAGGCCAAGAGTTCAAGGTTACAGCGAGCTGTGATCACACCACTGCACTCCAGCCTGGATGACAGGGTGAGCCCATGTCTCAAAATAAACAAACAGTGACAGATGCTAGGAAGAAAGGGACCCTGTCCCTGCTGACCGAGGCCAGGAGAGCTAAGAAGGGCGTCGTCGCATTTTGAGGACACGCGAGTCTTATCCGGCGGGGGGCTGGGAGTCCCGAGGGCCTCACCCTCCCGCCCTCTGCCTACAGCGCATTTTGGAGGACAAGGAAGCAAACCCGCTCCCCGCGGCCCTGGTCCAGCCCCACACCGGGAAGCTCTGCTGGTTTCTGGACGAGGCGGCTGCCAGGCTCCTCACGGTGCCCTTTGAGAAGCATTCCACCTTGTAGCTGTCCGCCAGGGGGACGCGGCAGCTGGGACCACGCACGGCCTGAGGGGCTGGGCCCCTGCTGGCCGCCCGGTGCTGCTGGGAGCGGACAGAGTCCGGCCTCCAGCCCCGCCCTGGGGGCTCGGCCTGTGGGCGACCTGCATATTAAAAAGGCGTGTTGCTGGAAGTCTCCACTGTCTCGTGGTCCTTGAAGGCAGCGGGCCTGGGTGGGGGCGCCCTGGCTGCGGGTCTGACCCACAGCCTGGCCGTAGTGGGGCAGAGTGGGTCTGCTCCCCTGGGCATGGGCACCGTGGGGGAACGTCCTGGGTGGCTGAAGACAGTAGAAGCGTGTTGTGTCGTACGCGTGGCGTCAGAAGTCCAAACGAAGGCAGCGTCAGGGTCGGTTCTCTCTGGCTCCGTCCCACGTGCTGGCTTCTGGTGACCGCCAAGTCCTTGGTGTTGCCTCTGCTTCTGTCCTGACATGGCCCTCTGGCCCTCGTGTGTCTCTTTTCTTACAAAGGCACCTGTCGCCGGGTTCAGGAGCACCCTAAACCCGGGGTGATTTTGTGTCATGACTCCTGGGAGGGGTAACACCCACCAAGACCCTTGTTCCAAACAAGGTCACATTCTGAGGTTCCAGGGTTAGGATGTGGACATATCGTTTTGCAGGCGCACAAATCAAGCCACTCCATGCCCACCCAGCTGAGCTCTGACCTCACAGCCAGGACCAGCCGCAACCACTGCATTCTGCTGTGCTGCAGACCTGCTCAGAGCCTTGAAAACGCCCAGGGGCCTCTAGTCTCCGGTGTGCTGGGCTGCAGCGTTTTCCGAGAGTGGGTCTGCTCGTGGCCCACCCTTCAGCTCTCCCTGCTCCAGGGACCTCGGGGAGGGAGGCTGGTGGGCGCACAGGGGCTTTGGTGCGGGGGCATCCGAGCTGGCGCCGGGCAGGCAGGCTGGGAACTGAAGCCTCGGCGCGGAGGCGGCTGTGCGGGTGGGGAGGGAAGCCGAAACCACAGAAAGGGAAGTGTCCTTCAGCGTCTCCTGCGGGTGGGTCACTCGTGAGAGTGAGGAAGTGGGACAGGGCCTGAGCGGAAGCAGGTTGACAAACAGCAGAGAGGGGCGGGAGGGGGCACCCAGCTGTGGGCTCAGGCCAGAGCAGATGGCCATGCCCCCGGGAGCTGTGGGCAGAGGCTGGGGCAAGGGGCTAAGATAAGAAAGGAAAGTTAGGAGATGGCCGTGGGGACCCCACATGGGGCCCCTGCCTGGAGCATGTCACCGCCTCCTGTCTCTCTCCCAAGAGTGGTGACTCTCTCTGCTGCAGACCAGCCTGAGAGTGAAACCCAGACTTCTCACAAGCCTCTGCACCTCCCTTCAACCTCCCCCGTCGGCCTCTCACTCACCCCCAGCTTCCCACGCACTTGATACTGGGCCTGGGACCCACCGAACATTCCCACTGCAGGGCCTTTGCATGTGCTGTGCCTGCCGCCTGCTATTCCCTTTCTTCCAGCTTTTTGCATGATCTGGGCCCTCATTTCCTTTTTGGTCTTGGTGCAACATCACCCTTGTGACTCCTCCGCGCCCCCTGACATTTTCTGTTGCTCCCTCTCCATTTTTCTCCCTTAGCCTTATAATTAAACAAAACATGGAGGTTTAGCTCTTTCTTAGCTTAAACAAAATGGAGGTTTATTTAGCTCTTTCTCTGGAGATAGGTCACCCAGGTCTGGTGGAGCAATGGCGTGAACTCTTTGGGGACCCCAGCTTCTTCTACATTGTTGCTATGCTATTGGCATCACATGGGGGGGGGGGGGGTCCACCTCATGGTCCAAAGTGGCTGCTTGTGCTCCAGCCGTCACATCCACATTCCAGCCACTGGAGGAGGAAGAGGAGTAGGAGATTCGTACCAAGGAAACATCCCAGGATTCACTCAAGTCACTTCTGATCACATCTTCATGGCCATACTATGTTGCACAGCCCCACGTAGCAAGGAAGACTGAAAAACTTAGTGCTTACTGGACAGCCATGGCCCTGCTCTAATCTGGGATTCCACTACTGAAGCCAGCAGGGCACTGGATATTGTGGGGGCACGTGTTTGTGCACTGATGACCCGCCCGCCCCTGGGGGCTCCCTGGGAGTCTTGCTGCCTGAGGGGCCACAGTCCGGGCTTTCCTTCCTCCAGCCGGGAGCCCCGCAGCCCAGAAAGCATCCAGTGTCCTTGAAAAGTCTTCAGGGCCCCGCCCCACTCCCTGTGCCCAACTGGATCCCGCGCTCGCTGCTCAACACTCCACGCATCAGAAACCCGTGACGGCTCCATTCGGTCAGCTTGGAGGGCAGACCCGTCCCTCCCTCTCTCCTTTCATTCATTCATTCGGCAAACACTGAGGGCTGCTCTGTGCCAGGCACAAAACAGTTGAAGGGGTGGGGACGCCCACGAACCAGACCCAGTCCAGTGCTGGACACAAAGGACATGCCCCACCAGTCTAGGGGTGCGGGGTCTGCTCTCCAAGAGGCTGGTGACCCAAGCCAAGGGGTGACCCAAGGGGGTGAAGCCCGGGTGACCAGGTGCGGGAAGCAGTAGGAAGGGTGTTCCAAGCACCACATGGGCCCTTTGGGCGTCGGGGGACCATGGGGACCCAGGGAGCTGCAGCGGCCGCATGGGGCCCAAGGGCTGGAGGAGAGACGAAGCCGGGGCCCGTGCTGCGTCCCGGAAGTGGGGAGAGCTCGGAGTCAGGACTGAGGGGTTAGAGGCCGGAGATCCGGGCTGGGCCCTGGAAAAGAGGTGCTTTCGAGAGACACTCAAAAAGCTAAATGGAGAGCGGGGTGCGGCGGCGCGCACCTGTCGTCCCAGCCACTGGGGAGGCTGAGGTGGGAGGATCATTTGAGGCCAGGAGTTCAAGGTCACCATGGGTGACATAGTGAGAACTCCGTCTCTTAAAAAAAGAAAAGGGAAACAGAGCCCAGGTGATGGGTTGGTGGGGGTGGGGAGACGGTTGAGGGGCCCGAGGAAGGGATCAAGGACGAAGCTTCAGTGCCCCGCCAAGTCTCTGCTCCCCCCTCCTCTGAGACCCCAGCACCAGCTCCTCCTGCCCAGGCACTGGCCCGAGGGACAGTCTGGGAGTGTCTGCCCAGCTCTGGCTCCCTGGCCCAGGGCTTCCTGAGCGCTGGGCCAGGGCTGGACCCTCTAGGGATCCAGCTCCACCCAGCACAGGGTGGGCACGGTGTGTAGGGGGTGGCACACAAAATTAGATGCCCCATCCCTGCCCCCCTCTTTCCCTGCCCCCACATGCCAACAACTGCCAGCCAGTCCTGCCAGATGTCTGCCCTGCATCCCTCCTCCAAGGCGGGCTGGGACATTTTCTCTCGCACAGCCCCAACCTCCCCGGGGGCTGCCCCAGCAGCCCCTACGGAAACCACCAGCTCGGGCAGCCTTGGCCCCAGGGGAGCGGGGAGGACGCAGGTGCAGCGCGGGGTGGGGCAGGGGCGGGGCATCCAGGCCCCCTGCCAGCCGCCCTGCTCCCTGTGCGCGGAGCCCAGGACCCCGGGAGAGGCGGCAGCATGGGCGGGCGGCCCTCCAGCCCCCTGAACAAGCAGCAGCAGCAGTGCCTGAGGGGTGAGCGGCGAGGTTGGGGACCGTGTGGGAGTCCGGGCGGGGACTGGAGCCGGGTTCAGGGCTGGAGCTGTGTGTCACACAGGACGCCCTATTCATGTGAATTCCACATCAACAATGAATCATTTTTATAAGTATGTCCCGAATTTTGCATAGGGTGTACCTATGCTAAAAACGAGTCCTTATTTAATTGCAATTCAGATGTGACTGGTGTATTTTTATTTGATAAATCTAGTAACCCTATTCAGGGCAGGGGTTCAGGGCTGGGGGAGCAGGGGGCCAGGTGGGGGTGTCCCGGGCCCAGCCAGGGCCCCACAAATGGTCCTCATGGGCAGGGAAAGACTAGCAGGCCCCTTGGCATGGACCCTGGGGACCAAGGTTCAGTTCCCAATTTGAGACTAAGAGAGGCCAGATTCAGTGTCACTTGAGTCCCTCTGTCCTCCTCATATGCAGGTTGAGCACCTACTGTGTGCTGGGAACACTGTGGGGTTGGTACCAGCCCCGCCCTGGCAGGCTCACAACCTAGACCAGGAAAGCAGATCAAGTCATTGTCACACAAATGGCAGTTGGATTGGGAGTGATGGGGAGAGCAGGGATGGGTGAGATCCTGAATTCCTTCCATCTTGTGGCTCTGCCACGTGTGCCTTCTGTGCCCAAGTTCACCTCATGGCACAGAATGGCTGCTGGAGTTCCAGCCATCAGGTCTGCATTCCAAACAGCGGCAAGCAACAATGTTTTATATACAGTCAAGTGCACGCATCTTAGGGGAACAGCTTGAAGAACTTTGACACTCGTGTGACTACCTCCTAGGTCAGGATGCAGAACGCTTCCATCACCCCAGAAAGTTCCTTTGTGCTGGGGTGGGGCTTTTAAAAGTTTTTGAAAATCTCCCCAAGTAAAGGTCATGAGGAACCTCCCAGGCACAATGGGACTGTTTGTTATCTGGACTGCGGTGACGGTTGCATGGCTGTGTCATGCCTGCAAAGCTCATGAAACTGTTCGCTCTAAACGAAGCCCGAGTCGCTTACCTGCCCCTCCCCATGCGGGAGGGAACACAGCACGAAGGGCTAAGGGTGAATGGAATTGGGGCGTGAGGACGAGCCCGCGGGTGGCTTCCTTGTCTGTTCTGCCCTCCCCAGGCAGACGGGCTGCTGCGCCCGTTCATTAGGGTGCTTCGCCCTGTCCTTGTGCACAGGTCAGGTGGACGCCCAGCTGAGGAACTTCCTGCCCTGCTACCGCGGGCAGCTGGCAGCCTCCGTCCTGCGGCAGGTCTCCCAGGAGCTGGGTCCCCAGGAGCCCGCCGGATGCCAGCTGCTGCGCAGCAAGGTGGGTGCCTCCGCGTGGGGCTGCGTGTGAGGGGCTGGGGGGCGGCGTTCGGTGGGGAGCCCTCCCCAGGCCAGGCCTCTGACCTCAGGCCCTTGCCCTTGCCCTGGGCGACTCCGAAGATTAATTCTTTGAATGAACATTCCCTGAGCACCTAATTCATGCCGCAGCCAAGGCAGGGCGCTGGGGACACCGCGGCGACGGAGACAGATCCCGCTCCGGCCTCTGGGTTCACAGTGAGGTGGGAGATGGAGGACCCCAAACAAGTTCACGCTGCAGGATGACTTCTGACGCGCTCTAGGGAGAAAGTGTCACAATATAGCACAAAATCGGCACAGCTGCCGTGGGCCGGGGCCGGGCGCGGCTTAGCCAAGTCCTTTCCTTCTGGGTCACTCGCAGGCTGCAGTCATGGCGTGGGCCAGGGCTGGGGTCTCATCGGAGGCTGAAATGGGGAAGGGAGGCGCTTCCACGTAAAATGGGAACGACAAGGGCATTCGTCCCCCAGGGCTTCCGGGAGGATGAAATTAGTAAATCCGTAAGTGCAGCAAATAAGTGCACCCGGTGGTTGTGCTTGATACAGAACAGTAACCCTGACGCCCACGGTCCCTCCTCTTGCAGAAGCTGCCCCGAGTCCGCGAGCACCGAGGACCCCTGACCCAGCTGCGGGGCCACCCACCCCGGTGGCAGCCGGTCTTCTGCGTTCTGCGCGGGGATGGGCGCCTGGAGTGGTTCAGCCACGAGGAGGTGGGCGGGCGGCCCGCATCCCTGTGCCTCGGGGCCCCTCCGTCCGGCCCCGTTCCCCGGCATGGCTTTGGGGTCCAGCTCCCAGCGCAGCCCCCGCCTCTCTCACTCAGCCAGTATGAATCGAGGGCCCCTATGTGCTTGCCCCGGGGTGGGCGACCAACTTGTCCCATTCCCCTGCTGTGCCAGGTGGGCAAATTGAGACGCGGGCCAGGGGTAGGACTGTGGTCAGACTCATGGTCACTATCGGAGCTGCGGTTTAAAGCTCCTGCGGTCTTTGCGAGTCACACCTGGGGCCACTCTGCTTCCTAGGGGGGGGATTGGGGAGCTCACACCCTCCCTGGAACTCAGTTGCCACCTCTGCGAAATGGGTCGACGGTGCCCCACGCTGCGTAGGGCTTTGAGGAGTCGGTGGGTTGATCCTCAGGCAGCACCCGGGGCCGGCTCGGCACATAGTGAGCCGGGGGCGCTGGGCACTGTGGCCATGCGGGAGGAAGGGAGGGAAGGGGGAGAGAGAAGCGGGCAGAGAGGAAGGTAGAGGGGGAAAGAGGGGTGGACGGAGGGAGGGGAGAAGAAAAGGAGGGAGGGAAAGGAGGGGCAGCTAATCTGAAATCTTCCCTTGACCCTACAGTTGGGACATGAAATGGGCAGGTCTGTTCTTTGCGTGTCTTCTGTAGGAATATGAGAGTGGGGCTCGTCCTCTGGGCTCCACCGTCCTGACTGGGTACGCGCTGCTGACTTCCCAGCGAGAGTATCTCCGCCTTCTGCACGCCCTCTGCCCGGGCTCCTCTGGTGAGACCCCCGGGCCCGAAGAGCAGGTTTCTCCACCCCGTCCCTGTCGACAGTTGGGGCCGCGTCAGTCTTTGCAGCACCGGCCCGTCCTGCGCGCTGCAGGGCGCTGAGCAGCGTCCCTGCCTCCAGCCACTCGGTGTCGGTAACGCCCCCTCCCCAGGGCGACAAGCAAACAGGCGTCCAGCGTGGCAGCACGGCCGCAGGGCGAGCACCCGCACTGCGGAGGAAACCCGCTCTCACCAGGGCGGCAGGGCCAGCCAGGGCAGGAGGCCAGAATCGAAATGGCAGAGGGTGAAGCCGTGAAACCTGGCGACGGCGCGCGTGCGGGGGTGGGCGCGGACGGAGCGGAACGGCACCGACGTGGTGCCGGGCGCACGGCGCGAGCGGCGCTCTCTCCGCTGCTGCCTCCCATCCCCGGCCCTTCTCTGTCTCTCGCCATCACGCGGTGCGGAGAAGGGGTTCGGGGCAGGAGCGAACCCTCGGGGCAGCGGCCTGGCAAGCGCTCAGCACGGGGCCTGCGCGAGCTCACGGCCGCCCGGCGGCGACCGGCCGTCACTCTCCGCTGCGCGCCGCGGGGGAGGACGCCTCACAGTCAGCACAGCGCAGAGCCAGGACCGCGCCCTGCCCTCGCGGACCGTCTGCCCAAGCACCCGCAGTTGGAAACATCAGAATCCGCCCAGATGCCCGTCCTCTGAGGGCTGACTGCATACACCGCGGCCGCCGCGGGTGTCCGGACGCGCCGAGGTGGGAAACGACCAGTTACCGAGCGGAAGCCCCATCGTGTTACAAGACGCGCCCCATGCGATCCTGTGCGGATCTCAAATCCCGGTCACGTCCCCGAAACCGCTCGCAGTTGCCGTGGTCCCCGCGGCAGCGGGCGCCAGGCTCACCCGGGCTCCACCTTCCGGCTTCCCCCGCCCGCTGTGACGTCACTCCGGAAACCGGAACAAAACACTGAGGGTTTAACGGACCCCCGACAAATTAATCAAATTCGAATTCAATTAATTCGTCTTCCCGACAGTTCTCGGTCATAAACACCACGACCAGGCCTGTTTTATAGGCAGGGAAACCGCGGCCCAGAGGGCTGAAAAGGTGGCCCCCGTCACAGAACTAGAAAGTCGTTCGGCCACGTTCGAACCCAGGCCCGGCCGAGTCCAGAGCCCCCAGCCAGCAGGGCTCAGACCCCAGCCCAGCGTGGCTCGTCGGCGGTGCTGCCAGAAGCGCTGTGCTGGGGAGGACGCTGAGGCTGGGAAACAGTGCTGGGATGGATTGGCCATGTCTGCCCTGGGCACGCGAGGGAGGAAGGTGGCCCTGCCTCCGCCAGGACTGTGCCCAGCCCAGTGCTGTTGGAATAAGGACGTGGCAACTCTAATGCTGTGGCCACGCTTACTGAGCCGCTGCCCTCGCGCCAGGGGCTGCCGTGCACATTTCACGGATATTTTCTTGTAGTGAACGAACGTGCAGAAAATGTGACCTCCCCTGTCTGCTTTTAGAGGACCATGCACAGGAAGATCCCGACTCCCTCTTGGAAGTGCCCGTGAGCTCCCCGCTGTTCCTGCAGCACCCGTTTCGTCAGCACCTCTGCTTCTCTGCCACCACCAGGGAGGCACAGCGTGCCTGGAGGCTGGCCCTGCAGGGCGGCATCCGGCTTCGGGGCACAGGTGGGTGCCAGGAAGTGTTAGGTAGTGGTGGAGCTTGGGGTCTGGGGTCGGATGGCTCTGCCCCTGCTGGCTGTGGGAGCTCTCCAAGCCTCAGTTTCCTTATCCATAAAATGGGCTGTTGGGGGAGACAGAGGGGACACCAGGCAGTTATGAGTGACCAGGGCTGTAATAGGGCGGCCCTGTGGGAGCTCAGCCTGGGGGTGGTCAGAATGGGCTTACCACAGGAGGGGAAGCTGGGTTCTGAAAAAGATGAAGGGCCAGCCAGGTGAAGAAGGGGAACAGGACTGACACATACAGTTGGGCAAGTTGTTGACTGCACAAATACACCCAACTGAAGGGGCAGCTTGGGGCTGCAGTGTGGCCTGAGCCGCTGGTCACCGGGCTGTAGTTGCCACTACAGGGTTCCTTTTCCTAAGTCCCTAAGTCAAATAAAGGCGGCTTTCGGGCTGGCGGTGCTCCTGAGGCACTGTGCTCCCTGCGGAGGGCACTGCTTGTGCCACGTTCCAGAGGTGGGTAAGACTTGGGTGTCTGGCGACCTGGTGAGGCTGAGGGCTTCCCCCCGGGGCCATGAGGAGCCAGGCAGGGGAGGGACTCGGGGGCACTGAGGAGCCGCCCCTCGCAGTCCTGCAGCGAAGCCAGGCCCCCGCCGCCCGGGCCTTCCTGGACGCAGTCCGACTCTACCGGCAGCATCGAGGCCACTTTGGCGACGACGACGTGACCCTGGGCTCGGACGCTGAGGTCAGTGCCCCTCCAGGCTGCACTGGGACCCCAGGACCCCTGGTGGCCGGCGCGGTGCCAATGCCCGATCCCCACAGGTGCTGGCCGCGGTGCTGATGCGGGAGCTGCTGCCTGCGCTGCGGGCCCAGACCCCGCCGAGCCTGCGGGGAGCCGGCCGCGCGCGCGCCTGGGCCTGGACCGAGGTACCCGGCGTCCGGGAGGGGCCGGGGCCGACCCGGGCGCTCAGGTTTCCCAGTGCCACGACCGTCGCCTAAACCCGCTCCCGGTCTCTGCGCCTCTCTGTCCCCTCCCCTCGCTCCTGTCCTGCGTGGGCCGCCGGCCGGTCTGCGCAGCTCCTGGACGCCGTCCACACAGTCGTCTTGGCCAGGGTTTCCGCGGGGCTCCGCGCCTTCCAGCCCGAAAAGGACGAGCTGCTCGCGTCCCTGGAGAGGACGATCCGCCCGGACGTGGACCACACGCTGCAGCTGAGAGCTGGGCTGGCTGGGCGGCTGCGCAGTGAGCCCGGGACCGGGACTGGGATGGGGGCGGGGCCTGGAACAAGGGGCGGGGCGTGCTGGGAAAGAGTGGGCGGGTCTAAATGAAACGTGGGCGTGTCCCGGGGAGGGTAACAGGCCTGGACAGGGAAAGGCAGGGCCAAGGGGCTTAGGGAAAGGGAGGGAACAGGGTGAGAGTGGGGGACGGGACTAGAGTCGGTCCGAGGACGGGTGGTCCTGGGGGGGCTGTGCAGGGGAAAAGACAGGGGGCCTGAGGGCGTGGCTGGGGCGGGGCCTAAATGGGGAGTGGGCGGGGCCTGGAGGTCGAGGCTCGCGGGGCGAGGCCAGGTGGGCCAGAGGCCTGGGAAGAAGGCCGGCGGGGAGGGCGGGGGTGACATTGGGTCAGGAGAGGGGTGGGAGAAAGGCGGAGACACCAGCAGGGCGTGCCAAGGTGGTCCCATCTCAGGTCAGTGACAGAGACGCGGGTTCGAATCCCGGCTCTGCTTCCCTCCCCGGCCTGCGCCTTTGGGCAGATCCGAGCCTCTCAGAGCCTCAGTTTCCTCCCCAATAAAACGGGATAGAAGAGGGTGCTCAGAGTCGGTGCTTCCCGCCCACCTCGCCCTACCGAGCTCAGGGTCCCCGGGACCAAAAGAGAAACACACGCCCCACCTGCGAGACCCCAGGCCCGTGTCTCCCGTTGCCAGCGGATGTTCAGGGCCTGCTCGAGTCGTGCCTGCGCCAGGAGGTGGACGCGCAGCTGCCCCGAGTCACGCGGACGCTGCTGAGCACTGTGGAGGCCGCGATCGAAGCGTTGCGGACCCTCTTAGCCCAGGGCATGGACCGCCTGTGTCGCCACCTGCGCCAGAACCCCTCGGGCGCGCGGCTGCGAAGGGAGGTGAGCTCGCGCGGGTAGGGGCTCCTCGGGCCGCCCGGGAATGTGTTCAATTTACACGAGAGTTGCGTGGACCGTGCCGCTTTCCTGTTTGAACACCCTCTCTGAATTTGTTCCGGACGCTTTTTACTTATGGTGGACCACGGCGAATTCCCCGTCATCACCACGCTGTGGTCCTTAGGGCGCAGTTAACACGTGGCGGAGGGGGGAAGAGTGAGGTGACAAGAGTGACACTTTAGCATAATCAGTCTGGGTCACCTTTCACCCGGAGTCCTCTTCCTCCCCTTCCCCTGTTGGGCAACAGCCCGTGCTGTCCCTCGAGCCAGAGAACTCTGCTCAGCGCAGGCAGCTGCGCTTGCTGTGTGTCAGGCAACCTTCCACCGGTTGTTAAGCCTCTGTTTCACAGTCGCCTTCTCCAGGAACTGTCCCTGGTCCCCCCAGTGCCCGCAGTTGCCTATGCTTCCCTCATCACAGTGTCGTTTATGTCCCACGACGAGTGGTTGTCTGCACCTGTCTCCTCCAGCTGGGAAGCACAGACTTCCTCTCAGTTGTGCCAGCGCTGCTGGTTATCATTTTGTTTGGTTTTACCATTTTATAGCCCTTACATCAGACTTCAGTGTTACTTTATTGTGAGTTAGTTTCTTTGGTGACGACCAAGGTGGGATGTGTTTCTGTTTGTTTCTCCTGCGGTCACGTGGCCGGGGGGCCCTGGGCCCTGCATCTGCACCAGCTGACAGTGTCTTCTCCACCGCCTGCCACTGGAGCACAGGTTTACTCATTTGCGGAGATGCCGTGGGACCCGGAGCGGATGCACACATGCTACCGAGAGGCCGAACGGGCCAGGGGGCGACTGGGGCAGCTGGTGGCACCATTTGGCTTCCTGGGGATGCAGGGCCTGGTGTTCGGGGCCCAGGATCTCGCACAGCAGGTGAGGGTGAGCGGGAGGCTGGGAGGAGGCCAGGTAGGGACAGCAGCCTCCAGCGAGCAGTTGCCAAGTGTGTTCTGGGAAGACCAGGATGACGGAGACAGACCTGGCCCTCCCTCACCAGGCTCCCAGTCTCATCTGGACATGAGCCCATGACCAGGCAGTGACCGCATGTGGTGGACAGGGCTGTGGTGGGGACTTCCAAGCTGAGACAGCAGTGGGAAGAATGGAGGTGGGGCACGTCTGAGTAGAAGGAACAGTGTTGAGAGAAGTCTGCACTTGGCGGAAATGAAGCAATTTAGAAAGATCACATTTCAAGGGCAGGCGAGGTGGGTGGGAAGATTGGGTAGGGCCTTGAGCACAGGGCTAAGGGGCTGACCTCTGTCCTGAGGGCACTGGGGAGCCACAGCAGGTGTGTGAGCAGGGGAGGAGCATGATTGGATTCAAGGCTTAGGAAGCTGGGGCTGTTGGGCTGTTGGGGGCAGGAATGGAGGAGGCAGGGAACAGTCCTGAAGCCTGATGGGGGCTGTCAGTGGGGAGAAGCAAGGAGTGTTTTGAAGGCCAAGGAGATGGGACCTGCTGATGGACATGGTGAGTGAAGGAGGTAGGGAGTGAGATGACCCAGTGCTGCCTGGCACAGTTGTTCAGCATGTGTACTGCACAGGAGCTCTCAGCAGAGGAGGCTGAACTCTGACTGGCTCTCTGTTCCCTAACTTGGGCACCCTGGCACCACCCCCCAGAGGGCTTTCTGCCAGTTTGCGCATAGCCCCCCCAGACAGGACAACCCCCACCGAGGTCCTGAGATGAGGAGGAGGTTGGGGGTAGGTTGCTGACTGGATATTGAGAAGAGGTGAGCCAGGTAGGCACGAGGCCCAGGAAACAGGTGCACGTGCTCATCACAGCACCTCCTGTCACAGCTCATGGCGGATGCCGTGGCCACTTTCCTGCAGCTGGCCGACCAATGTCTGACCACAGCCCTGGACTGTGACCAGGCTGCCCAGCAGCTAGAGAAAGTCAGGGGCCGCGTGCTGAAGGTGAGGTCTGTGGGGACAGGGGCAGGGGGCCTGGGTGCTCAGAGGGTCGCTTGTCAGGCCACTGGGTGTGTCGTGCAGAAGTTCAAGTCGGACAGCAGCTCGGGGCAGAGGAAGTTCATCCAGGGCTGGGTGTCGTGCATTTTCTTGCCCTTTGTGCTGAGTCAGCTTGAGCAGAGCTGCAAAAAGGTGAGCGCATGGTGGCGGGTGGGGAGGGGGACAAAGGCAGCTTCTGCAGCGCGACTGCGTGCCCGTGTCTCTCTGTGAAGTGGACAGGATGCTCTGCGGTCATTAGAGACTTTTGTTCCCTGAGCCCCGGGGTCGGGTTGGGAGCCCTCTGCTCCCCCTGCGACAGTGCTCTCTACCCTGCATCTGCCACGGGAGAATTGGCATGGGCGGGTCCCATCTGTTGCCTATCATGGGGTGACAGGGGCTTCAGAGAAGGGAGGAGGCAGATGGGTAGGGTGGGTGTGGGTTGGATGGGGGTTGCCAGGTGGTCAGGAAACGTCTCCCAGAGAAATGATGCCTGAGAAGCTGTGGACTGAAGCAGTGGCATGTCCCGCCAGGAAGGGCATTCCAGGCAGAGGGCGCAGCATGTGCAAAGGCCCTGAGGCTGCGCTGTGCCTGGGGTGTCGGAGGAAGAGTGAGGAGGTGGGCGTGGCTCGAGCTCAATGAGTGAGGGGTGAGTGACAAGGGGGTGAGAGCAAGGTCAGAGGGGCCTGGACACACTGGCCAGGGGCACCGGGTGGGCACTGATGCATGGACTAACAGGGTCCTCTAGGAGAGTGACTGCGGGAGTTCCCAGGTGAGACGCCTTCTCTAGTCCCTGTGAGATGTGATTTATTTTGTCCCTTTAACCCCCTTAATCCTTACATCAAACCTAGGGAATACGGACCACTGTGTCCATTTTAAAGATAAGGAAACTGAGGCTCAATGTCCCCAGCTTATCAGCTCCAGGGCTGGGGCCCAAACCCATGTCACGGCCTCCAGCAGCCCTCTCCCCCGGTCTCGCCCTTGACTTGCTGTGGTTCCAGGAGCTTCCTGAGTTCGAGGGGGACGTTCTCGCTGTGGGCAGCCAGGCCCTGACCATCGAGGGCATCTATGAGGACGTCATCCGGGGGGTCTTGCTGCAGAGAATCAACCGAGGTGAGCCCTGCCCTGCCATTGCTCAGGGAGCGGTGTCCCCTAGCTGTGTGTAAGGAGCCCCACTGCTACGCACAGCCCCATCACCTCTCACTTCCTGTGAACACTTGCCCTTTGACCCTGGGTCAGGACTGGGCCAGAGGGGGTCCAGCGGTGGAGGAGCTCAGAGGGGCAGTGATGGAAATTCCCTGCAGGAGTGGGCACTGGAGTGAGGCCGTGAGGCATGTGTAGGAGTTCTCAGGATGAAAAGGAGGAGGCAGAGTTCGAAAACTAAGGATAGACATTTTCATTTATTCACTCAACAACCACTCCTGTTTTTGTCTGGGCTGGCATGGAGGCTCCCAAGAGTTCTCAGACTTGGGGTAAGCCTCTTAGGAGCTCCTGGGCTGGGAAGTGGCTCCAGAAACATCTTCCTGCCTCCCAGCTTGTCAGTTCACTCATGAACCTATGCCCAGGACCACTGAGATGTGTGCACTCATGGTGGGGGTGGCGAACAGCAGGCAGCGGCGATTCAGGGAACATCAGCCTCTGTGCAGCCAGGGCATAGGGCATGGCGGGGAGGCTGGAGGCTGCTGGAGCAGATGTGCAGGGCTTTGAATGACAGCAGAGGAGTTTAGACTTTATTTTGCAGGCAATGGGGAGCCATGGAGGGTGTGTGAGCAGAGGGTGACAGAAGCTGGACTGGAAGCTAGGGAGGAGGATGAGGCCATGGTCCTGGGGGCAAAGGGCAGTCTCGAGCAAGTGGCAGCAGCCGAGGGACAGAGCCCAGGAGTGAGGTCGAGGTGCGAGCTGGAAGGGTTGGAGTTTTGACTTGGGATTCACCGAATGCCACAGCCGGGGAGAGGAGCGCATGGAGTACAGGCATGAGTCTCAGAGAGCTTGCATTTGAGGACGCGAAGAGGGAGAAGGGACATAGGAAGTGCCGTCAGAAAGGTGGGAGAACCCAGAGATGGTGGGGTCCTGGGAGTGAGGGAACAGGGTGAGGGTGTATCTTGGTCACAAACAAGAAGAACTGAGTTCCCCGAGAAAAGCAGAAGTTTTAAGTTGAAAAAAGCCATTCTCTGGAGGAAAAGGCCATGTGAAGACAGGCAGGGATCGGAGTTGTGCTGCCGCAAACCAAGGAAGCTCTGGGGTTATCAGAAGCTGGATGAGACGAGGAAGGGTCTCCCCTGGAGGTTTCGAAGGGAACACGGCTCTGCCAACACCTTCATTTTGGACTTCTGGCGCCAGAACCGTGGGAAAGAACCATGGGGCAATGGATTTCTGTTTTTTAAGTCGCTCCGTTTGTGGTGCGTTGTTACAGCAGCCCTGGGAAGTGAATAATATATTTCTGCTTGAGTCAGAGCCCTAAGGGGAAATAGGTGATCACTCCAATGGGATAATGAGGGCAGTTTAAAGAGGGCACAGGGGTGAGGGCAAAATTAAGAACAACCTCTAAGGGATGGAGAAGCCTTCTGGGTTTGGCAGCAACAGGTTTTCATTAGCTTGCCTAGGCCCAAAGGACCAAGTGGAGGGGAGGTTCTGGGAGCTTGGGCAGCGCTAGATTAGCACCTGTGGATTGGCGGGGCAGGAGGTACTGACTGTAGCCCCAGCCAACCTGTGCCGCGGCTGAGAGAGAGGGGGCCCGGGGATGAATACTCTGTCCTCATTTTCCTCCCATGCTCTGATGGCCTGCTGAGCTCCCATTGTCCAAACCTGCCAAGAGCACTCATTGATAGTTTGCAGAGTTCAGCCTCTCAGGATACCGGGCAGGGTGGAAAGAGGGGAGAGTGGGTTTGGAAGGGAAACCAGAGAATATCCCACACATATGGGATAAGAGGGGTATGTGTCATTCACATGTATGTTTATGAGAAGGAAAGACTCTAATGTCTAAGATAGTATCATACATACATACTGCTAGTTCTCAACAAATACTTGGGATTATGGCTACAGGATATCTGGAAATGCTTCTTTTGGATTCTAAGGTTCAAGGCTGTGGAATTCATTTAATAAATTTTTATTAAGCAAAAAAAAAAAAAGGAAAGAAAAAAACTATTCTCTGATTACAAAATTAAATCCAGAAACAGGTGACCTCCATGAGTTTCTGTTCCTGGAAGTTTTACCTATCTTTAAGGGGTACCGTCTTCAATTGATTTGTGATGTCTGCCCAGAGCAGCGTGTTGGCAGACAGGGCTGGAAGTGTCCAGGCTCAATGAAGAGTGCAGGGATCGGTTAGCAATGTCTGCCATGGGCACAAGCAAGGTGAGAGGCTCAACGTGAGCCACTTGTTTAGGATTCCTGGTTGAGACATTTGTGTCCTTTCTGGGAAAATGTATGGAAGTCCTTTAATGCCTGGACTTCTCCAGATGTGTCCAGGAGTTTATCTCTTGTTTCAGAATTGAGAAAGGCCCTTGGTGCCAGTGACACATCCTGTACTCTGGCTGGCTGCTCAGAGGCCCCATGGGAAGAGGAGGAAGAGGTGAGGACCCCACGGGCTCCTGGGCCATGCCAGTGACTTACTGGGGCCTGGGGGGGTGTATGGGATTGTCATGAGTGAGGGTTCATGGATGGAACAGCATGTACTTTGTCTCCTGACCCAGCCAGGACGGCCAAGATCGTAGTGAACAAGGGCCATGGGAAGCCACAGAGTGCGCCTGAGCCACAAAGGGACCCTCTAAACCCAGGCTCTGACATACGTGTGGGCTCCGCTCATGGGAGCTGAAGTTGTGATGAATTTCTGTCCCACCCCTAATGCCAGGATTCAGTGGGCCTCCCAGCAGCTGCTGGGATTTCCTGTTTCCAACCTGGAAAGGGGGATTGTGGTGCTGCGGACCTTAGGTTTACCACCAGCAAGGGCTCTGCAAGATGGGCATAATTTGGGGGGGGGTAATTTGTTATGCAGCAGCAGCTGACTAATACACTGCCCTGCTGATCTGGGGCGGCATCCTATAGTCAATCCCTGCAGATAAACTGATCAATATTTACACTAATTGGGATAAATGGTTGAATGGTCTTAGAAAGATTTTTGGGTGTCAGAATATTTAGGGGTTTGCAATTGGGGATGCGGGATTGGGGATGGGCCTCTGAGTCTATTTAACCAGAACCTAACAGGTGGGTGTTTGGTTTCTGGTCTTTCATGCTGACAGCTAACGCCACAGGAAATCACCTTGTACAAACTTGTCATGCAAGGGCAGGTTCGTGTGGGTAAATCCCTGCGTGGTTTAAAATATGCGTGTCCTCTTTCAACAGTGGTTTCCAGAGGGTGCCCCACCCCTCACCTGGAGCCCCTGATCTGTATTCCTGAAGTTTAGGAGTTATTTTTAGCTCTTTCTCTCAGAACCTTTTGTTCCGTCCTTCCCCCACTCATCTTCTGACTGCTTATACATTTCAATGAAGTTTTTGTTGCTAAGCTCCCATTTATTGAGCACTGATTATGTGCCAGGTGTTTCTCATGTCTGATTTTTGGCCTCTCGATACTTCCATTTTACAGATGAGGAAACTGACCCTCAGAGAGAGAGAGGGGCTTGCCCCACGCAGCCAGGCTCTGGTGCCGAGGTCCAACCACTCTGCCCACTGCTTCCTTCAGGAACATTCCGGAGCTGAGTCTCCACCCGCATCCATCCTCACCTCTACTGGATAAATATCTAAAAGTAGAATTTCTGGGCCAAAGTGTACACACTGTTCTAGGCTTTTGTGACTCCCGTGCCTCCAAAAAAACCCTGTATCTTTTTATACTCCCACCAGCGGCATTTGCAAATTTTCTCCAAATCCTTTCTGAACACTAGGAATTTTTAATGAAAAGAAAAAACTCTCTGTCAATTAGATAAACACACAGAAAAATCTCATTGTTTTATTTTGAATTTCTTTGATGACTAACTTGAAGTTAAAATATGTTTATAGGCCATTATATGTTTGTGAGTTTTTGGTTTTTTAGTGAATTACCTGTTCATAGGTTTTTCTTACTTTTCAGGGTGTTTGTTGCTTTCTATTGATATCTAATAACTCTTTGTATATGAAGGCTATTAGTGCTTTGCGATACAGGTTACAGATTTTTTTCCCCCTCAGCTTGCTATAAGCCTTTTGGGTTTGTTTCCTAGCTCCAAATCTTAACTTAGTATCAAGTTTCCCAGTTGGGGCAGCTTTTATGATTTCCTTCTACTTGCCAGCAAAGACATCTGCTCACTTGAGGTTGGGAGCTTCTCCACTGTCACGAGCTTTCCAGCTGCTTCAGAACTGGGTTCCACAGGGACTTCCCTCGTGTTCTTTGCTCAGCTTTCAGAGGGACTCGCCAACTCCACGGAGATTTCCTCGTATTCTGTCCTGGAGTTTCCAGCCTCTCCCAGGAGAATGAGATATTCTAGAGTTTTCCAGAGTTTTCGCTCCAGCTCCACCTTCTGAGATACATTTGCACTTCACAGCCTCCTTTGGCTGTTTCCCTTTTACCCAGGAAGGGGTGTAGATGTTAATCTGGAAAAACTGCAGCAGCAAGAATGTCATCCTCTCCCCTCTGAGAAAACCATTGTTTGCCCTTGCGTGTAAATCCTCCCAGATGGGAGGCATCTTGTCACCTCGGTTTTTTGTTTTTTTTTTTGAGACAGAGTCTCACTCTGTTGCCCTGGCTAGAGTGAGTGCCGTGGCGTCAGCCTAGCTCACAGCAACCTCAGACTCCTGGGCTCAAGTGATCCTTCTGCCTCAGCCTCCTGAGTAGCTGGGACTACAGGCATGCACCACCGTGCCCGGCTAATTTTTTTCTATATAGTTTTAGTTGTCCAAATAATTTCTTTCTATTTTTAGTAGAGATGGGGTCTCGCTCTTGTTCAGGCTGGTCTCGAACTCCTGGGCTCAAACAATCTGCCCTCCTCCTCGGCCTCCCAGAGAGCTAGGATTACAGGTGTGAGCCACCACGCCCGGCCTTGTCACCTCGGTTTTTTACTTAATATGAAAGCGCTTTCCTCATCAAATCCAGAGTGTAAACTTGTTTCTTCCTTTTTGTGGAAAGTTTCAAATGTACCTCAACAACAGGGACCCGGGGTACCCCCACTTGGATTCAGCAGTGACCAGGTTAAGTCCCCCCCTGACTCGTACTGTAACCAGGTAAGAGGGGGCTGCAGTTCCAGAAACATTCAGCCAAACACTTAACTTGCACAGATGATTATTGTAGAAAAAAAAAAAGGAAAACAGAAGCAAAGTTGAGAGAAGAAAGTGGAAGAGGATGGAAGGGCAGGAGGAGGCGAGTGTCACGTGACCCCTGGGAGCCCCGCCCCCGCGCGCAGGCCCGGCCCGAGCTTTGCGGGTTCAGCCCACTGACTTTCTTAAGCTTCAGGTCCCCTGAGAGTGGTGCGCGTTGCGACGCGCCACCTGTGGCCTGACTTTTACTTAATATCGAACCTTCCTCCCCCCATTAATAAATACACATCTCAGCATCATTTTTAAAACTTAATTTTTAAGAATGACACAGCCACGATCAATGAGAAAACACAACATTGGAGTACTGGAAAACAATCCCTCGGCAGCGTTTCCTTGGAAACAGCGACCCTGCTTCTGGAGGAGCACGTGCTCAGCACGTTCCAGCATGTTCCAGCATCATCCTCCGGCTCCGTCTTCACGCCCACCCTGCGGGGTCTCTGTGATCTCATTTCACAGATGGACAAACTGATGCTCACGCAGAGAGCCCGCGGCAGGGCTGGATGTGAAGTGGACTGTGGACGTCAGGGCCTTCACGCCCAGCAACCTTCGAGGATACCCCGGGGAGGTCTGGAACCAGGATGGCAAAACCCACGTTGCAGCCGGGGAAACTGAGGCTCAGATCCTTCGGGTCCCAAACAAGTTCTAAGTAGCCAGGTCCGCTTGGTGGCACAGCCCGGGTCTTCCAACAGGGAAGCTGGACGGCGCCTCAGGCAGCGGTCCGCCGGGGAGCAGGCGCCCGGAGGCAGGGCGGGCTCCCTGGCCGCTTCTGCTCCCAAGTGTTCCGAGCGCTCTGTGCCTTTAAGGTGGGAACGGGGGCGGGGCGTCCTGGGCGGGCCTGCAGGCTGACGTCACGCCGGGCTGTCTGGAGGCGGGGCCTGACGGCTGACTTCTAGCCAAGCGCGCTCCTCCCCTTTAAGGCGCGCGATAGGGGCGGGGCCACGGTGACCTCTTTAAGGCGCGGCCCGCGTCCGCCGGCAGAAAAGCGGCTTAAAGGCGACGCGTGGCGCGATGGCGGCGGCCCCACGGGCGTGCCGGCGGCGCGGGCGGCCGCTCCCGGCGCTGCTGCTGCTCCTCCTGCTGGTGCCACCGCCCCCGGGGGGCCCGCCGGGCGCCGCCGCCTACTTCCCGGAGGAGCGCTGGAGCCCGGAGTCGCCGCTGCAGGCGCCGCGCGTGCTCATCGCGCTGCTGGCGCGGAACGCGGCCCACGCGCTGCCCGCCACGCTGGGCGCGCTCGAGCGGCTGCGGCACCCCCGGGAGCGCACGGCGCTGTGGTGAGCGGGCCCGCCGCCGTCCTGGCGGGTCCACGCGCGTCCCCCGCCCGCCGTCCCCCCGCTCCCGGCGGACCTGCCTGCTGCCGCTCCGTTATGGCTGGCCAGACCCCCATTAAGACGGGCGGGACCCACGTTCTGCCTCCGGGCTCCTTCGGGGTGCTCAGGCCGTCGCCCCTGCCTGCGCCCCCGTTGGGGCAGGTCCCGGAGCCGCGGACAAACCTGCTAACTGCCTTTGCAGCACATACAGCCCGCAAGAACCGGGGCCTGGAGCTCCCCCGGGGCGTTTGTCGTGGCCGCCGACTAACTTTCTCCAGCTCCTGCCCAGTCAGAGCCCTGCCCTCTGGCCGGCGTGGGTGGGGTACAGGGCGTGGATGCTTCTCGGAAGGGGAGTGGGGCAGAACCCTGAAGAAGCCTCAGATTGCTGATTTCTCGCTCCCTGCCTCAGTTTCCTCAAATGGGAAATGGGTGTAGTAGTCTGATTCTCCTTTTGGGTTTGTCTCAGCTCAACCAGCTGATGGACGTGAATCTGTGTCTGCCAGGGGCTTGGCTCTCTGTGATGACAGCTTGGTTATTTTTATTATTATTACTGCTGCCGTTATAGTCAACATAATTTGTTGGGGAGAATTAGCTCTGGATTCCATGGTCAAACTAGACTTCCAAATGTCCTTCTTCCCTCCATTTCCGGATTCCCCAGTCTGGATGATCCAAAAATACAATTGGTTTTTCACAAACGTTTGTTGAATGAATGAATGACCACAGCCCACTATGAGTGATGTTGCTCCTAGGAGAGCCTGAAGGAAGGCGGCGTGGGGATTATGATATATAAATTTAAATTACACGTACTTGATACCGAGTGTGGTTATACAATCCTAGGTGCTCACTGATAAAACCACCAGTTGCTAATGTGTTTTTCCAAGGTTAGCTCGTTTAATCCCCCCCACGTCCCAGTGAACTGGGTGCTGCCCTCACCCTCGTGTTACAGATGAGGAAACTGAGGCACGGAAGCGGGCAAGTGTCCTGCCCAGGGCTACATAGCTGGTGGGAGACCGAGCTGGGGTGCGGAGTCTGAGTTGCCTTGCTGCCGCCTGGTTGTGCCTCGGTCTCCCCAGCTGTGCTGACTGTCCCTCTCTGCTGGCAGGGTGGCCACGGACCACAACGTGGACAACACGTCGGCCGTGCTGCGGGAGTGGCTGGTGGCCGTGAAGAGTTTATACCATTCGGTGGAGTGGCGGCCAGCGGAGGAGCCCAGGTGAGTGCTGGGCCCTGCCTGGAGCCTCCCAGTCTGACTGGCCATGCCTCTGCTCCTATACCCTCTACAGCTCCCTGTTGCCCCAGGACAGAACCCCAGGCCCTCAGCCCCTGCCTCCCCAGCCCAGCAGTGCGGCTCTGGCTACTCTGACCCCACCTGCCCTCAGCTTCACAAATAGGTCATAATCCTCTCTCCAGACCTTTGCCCAGGCCATTCCCTCCACCCAGAACTCCGTCACCCCCTTGCTGTTTGGTGGCCAACCTGGCTTTGCCTCCTGTCCCAGTCATGCCCCAGCACTGCCCTGAGCTCTCAGGGATGCCCCTGCTGGGCACTGAAGGCCCGTCCCCTGGCCAGCTGCTCTGAGCTTTCTGCCTAACCTGCCATTTATCTCTGGGCCTTTGCACGAGCCGTGCCACCTGCCAGGGACATGCTCCTTCCCTCCTGGCCTTCAGATCAGGTTACACACCCCCTCCTCCAGGAAGCCCTCTCTGATTACTCCCAGTACGGCTGAGGCCCTCTCTGGGCTGACAGTGCCCCCGGCCTCCCAATCCTCCAGCATCACAGCGGCCCCTTCGCAGGTCCTACCCGGATGAGGAGGGCCCCAAACACTGGTCCGACTTGCGCTACGAGCATGTCATGAAGTTGCGCCAGGCAGCCCTAAAATCAGCTCGGGACATGTGGGCTGATTATATCCTGGTGAGTGTCTCAGCCAGCTGGCCATGGATCACAGGGAGGTCTGGGGTGTCCCCAGGGAAGGCGGAGCAACAGGATGCGGGGACCGTCCTAAGCTCATTTTGCAGAAGGGCAAACTGAGGCTCAGAGAGGGGAAGTGAGTTGCTTGAGGCGATGCCGCTAGACAGTGGAGGAGGTGGGATTCATGCGATCCTGGGCCACCT